TACAAACTCCATGCAGGTGGTGCCGTGGTTGGGATTTAAACCAATGACCCGAGTACTGCCAGGCGGAAGTGCTAACCACTTAGCCACTGTGCTGCCCAATGGGTTCAGATCCCATCCTCAGTTGCTTGGCATATCCAAGCCTGAAAATTTGCAGGGAAATCATCAACTGTAACAAGAGCTGAGAAACAAGCGGTTAGTCTTCGAAATATGTACAACGTCATCCACTGACCTGGTTGTTTTTCCGGTTGGGCCCGAGCAGAAAATTAATAAAGTGACGCAATGCAGAATACTTCAGTAAGAGTTCAACAGCGCGAACTCCTTGCTACAAAAGGAAAACAAGAAGCGTCATTCACCTATCCCAGACAGAGCAGAATACACAGAGAGAAGCCAAAACTAGGCCTCCAACACATTCACCAGACATGAAGAAGTACATTCAAGTGAAGCAGAAGCTAAAAACGTTTTTTTTTTTTACCTTGCATTAAAGTGTTACTAAACCCCCCGCAGTACAATCAGTCTGTAGATGCAGGAAAGCGTGCTTGTTATACTCACTGTGCAACCTAAGGGGTTAATTCTCAGCATTGTGTAAAAAGGCTGTTTAATCCTGTCTCCTCTGATCCTCCCCTTCTTCTATTGTCTACTATCCATCTGCTGATAGTACAGAGCTCTAGGAGTCACTCTAGCAATACACACCAAACTGAGCATGTGCAGAGTTTTCTTTTCTTCTTGGGAGAGTGCATGTGATTAGCACAGGGCCAATAAGCACTGTCCAGGCACAGGTTCAGGGGTTATGTAGCCTCATAGTACAGTCAGAGGAGAATGAAAACTCCTCCTACAAGATTAACCAGTGCTCAGCCGAACACTGATAAAAGTCACAAGACTACTATATACGGCCGGCTGACGAGAATAGGTATTTATCAGTTTATATTTACTAAAATAATTGTATTTCCATGTTCTGTGTACTGTGGGAGAGCGGATACAGCGAATGCGGGGTCCGGGGAGGGCGGGCACAGCGAATGCGGGGTCCCGGGAGGGGCGGGGGAGGGCACTGCGAATGCGGGGTCCGGGAGGGCGGGGCAGGGCGAATGCGGGTCCGGGGAGGGCGGGCACAGCGAATGCGGGGTCCGGGGAGGGCAGCCGAATGGGGGCGGGGGGCGAACAGCGAATGCGGGGTCCGGGGAGGGGGGGGCACAGCGAATGCGGGGTCCGGGGAGGGCGGGCACAGCGAATGCGGGGTCCGGGGAGGGCGGGCACAGCGAATGCGGGGTCCGGGGAGGGCGGGCACAGCGAATGCGGGGTCCGGGAGGGCGGGCACAGCGAATGCGGGGTCCGGGGAGGGCGGGCACAGCGAATGCGGGGTCCGGGGATGCGGGGTCCGGGGGGGCGGGGCACAGCGAATGCGGGGTCCGGGGAGGGCGGGCACAGCGAATGCGGGGTCCGGGGAGGGCGGGCACAGCGAATGCGGGGTCCGGGGAGGGCGGGCACAGCGAATGCGGGGTCCGGGGAGGGCGGGCACAGCGAATGCGGGGTCCGGGGAGGGCGGGCACAGCGAATGCGGGGTCCGGGGAGGGCGGGCACAGCGAATGCGGGGTCCGGGGAGGGCGGGCACAGCGAATGCGGGGTCCGGGGAGGGCGGGGGGCACAGCGAATGCGGGGTCCGGGGAGGGCGGGCACAGCGAATGCGGGGTCCGGGGAGGGCGGGCACAGCGAATGCGGGGTCCGGGGAGGGCGGGCACAGCGAATGCGGGGTCCGGGGAGGGCGGGCACAGCGAATGCGGGGTCCGGGGAGGGCGGGCACAGCGAATGCGGGGTCCGGGGAGGGCGGGCACAGCGAATGCGGGGTCCGGGGGGGAGGGCGGGCACAGCGAATGCGGGGTCCGGGGAGGGCGGGCACAGCGAATGCGGGGTCCGGGGAGGGCGGGCACAGCGAATGCGGGGTCCGGGGAGGGCGGGGCACAGCGAATGCGGGGTCCGGGGAGGGCGGGCACAGCGAATGCGGGGTCCGGGGAGGGCGGGGCACAGCGAATGCGGGGTCCGGGGAGGGCGGGCACAGCGAATGCGGGGTCCGGGGAGGGCGGGCACAGCGAATGCGGGGTCCGGGGGAGGGCGGGCACAGCGAATGCGGGGTCCGGGGAGGGCGGGCACAGCGAATGCGGGGTCCGGGGAGGGCGGGCACAGCGAATGCGGGGTCCGGGGGAGGGCGGGCACAGCGAATGCGGGGTCCGGGGAGGGCGGGCACAGGAATGCGGGGTCCGGGGAGGGCGGGCACAGCGAATGCGGGGTCCGGGGAGGGCGGGCACAGCGAATGCGGGGTCCGGGGAGGGCGGGCACAGCGAATGCGGGGTCCGGGGAGGGCGGGCACAGCGAATGCGGGGTCGGGGGGGCGGGCACAGCGAATGCGGGGTCCGGGGAGGGCGGGCACAGCGAATGCGGGGTCCGGGGAGGGCGGGCACAGCGAATGCGGGGTCCGGGGAGGGCGGGCACAGCGAATGCGGGGTCCGGGGAGGGCGGGCACAGCGAATGCGGGGTCCGGGAGGGCGGGCACAGCGAATGCGGGGTCCGGGGAGGGCGGGCACAGCGAATGCGGGGTCCGGGGAGGGCGGGCACAGCGAATGATGCGGGTCCGGGGAGGGCGGGCACAGCGAATGCGGGGGCGGGGTCCGGGGAGGGCGGGGTCCGGGGAGGGCGGGCACACAGCGAATGCGGGGTCCGGGGAGGGCGGGCACAGCGAATGCGGGGTCCGGGGAGGGCGGGGGATTACACAGCGAATGCGGGGGTCCGGGGAGGGCGGACACAGCGAATGCGGGGTCCGGGGAGGGCGGACACAGCGAATGCGGGGTCCGGGGAGGGCGGACACAGCGAATGCGGGGTCCGGGGAGGGCGGACACAGCGAATGCGGGGTCCGGGGAGGGCGGACACAGCGAATGCGGGGTCCGGGGAGGGCGGACACAGCGAATGCGGGGTCCGGGGAGGGCGGACACAGCGAATGCGGGGTCCGGGGAGGGCGGACACAGCGAATGCGGGGTCCGGGGAGGGCGGACACAGCGAATGCGGGGTCCGGGGAGGGCGGACACAGCGAATGCGGGGTCCGGGGAGGGCGGACACAGCGAATGCGGGGTCCGGGGAGGGCGGACACAGCGAATGCGGGGTCCGGGGAGGGCGGACACAGCGAATGCGGGGTCCGGGGAGGGCGGACACAGCGAATGCGGGGTCCGGGGAGGGCGGACACAGCGAATGCGGGGTCCGGGGAGGGCGGACACAGCGAATGCGGGGTCCGGGGAGGGCGGACACAGCGAATGCGGGGTCCGGGGAGGGCGGACACAGCGAATGCGGGGTCCGGGGAGGGCGGACACAGCGAATGCGGGGTCCGGGGAGGGCGGACACAGCGAATGCGGGGTCCTGGGGGGGAGGGCGGACACAGCGAATGCGGGGTCCGGGGAGGGCGGACACAGCGAATGCGGGGTCCGGGGAGGGCGGAGCGAATACACAGCGAATGCGGGGTCCGGGGAGGGCGGACACAGCGAATGCGGGGTCCGGGGAGGGCGGACACAGCGAATGCGGGGTCCGGGGAGGCGGACACAGCGAATGCGGGGTCCGGGGAGGGCGGACACAGCGAATGCGGGGTCCGGGGAGGGCGGACACAGCGAATGCGGGGTCCGGGGAGGGCGGACACAGCGAATGCGGGGTCCGGGGAGGGCGGACACAGCGAATGCGGGGTCCGGGGAGGGCGGACACAGCGAATGCGGGGTCCGGGGAGGGCGGACACAGCGAATGCGGGGTCCGGGGAGGGCGGACACAGCGAATGCGGGGTCCGGGGAGGGCGGACACAGCGAATGCGGGGTCCGGGGAGGGCGGACACAGCGAATGCGGGGTCCGGGGAGGGCGGACACAGCGAATGCGGGGTCCGGGGAGGGCGGACACAGCGAATGCGGGGTCCGGGGAGGGCGGACACAGCGAATGCGGGGTCCGGGGAGGGCGGACACAGCGAATGCGGGGTCCGGGGAGGGCGGACACAGCGAATGCGGGGTCCGGGGAGGGCGGACACAGCGAATGCGGGGTCCGGGGAGGGCGGACACAGCGAATGCGGGGTCCGGGGAGGGCGGACACAGCGAATGCGGGGTCGGGGGGAGGGCGGGACACAGCGAATGCGGGGTCCGGGGAGGGCGGACACAGCGAATGCGGGGTCCGGGGAGGGCGGACACAGACACAGCGAATGCGGGGTCCGGGGAGGGCGGACACAGCGAATGCGGGGTCCGGGGAGGGCGGACACAGCGAATGCGGGGTCCGGGGGAGGGCGGACACAGCGAATGCGGGGTCCGGGGAGGGCGGACACAGCGAATGCGGGGTCCGGGGAGGGCGGACACAGCGAATGCGGGGTCCGGGGAGGGCGGACACAGCGAATGCGGGGTCCGGGGGGAGGGCGGACACAGCGAATGCGGGGTCCGGGGAGGGCGGACACAGCGAATGCGGGGTCCGGGGAGGGCGGACACAGCGAATGCGGGGTCCGGGGGGAGGGCGGACACAGCGAATGCGGGGTCCGGGGAGGGCGGACACAGCGAATGCGGGGTCCGGGGAGGGCGGACACAGCGAATGCGGGGTCCGGGGAGGCGGACACAGCGAATGCGGGGTCCGGGGAGGGCGGACACAGCGAATGCGGGGTCCGGGGAGGGCGGACACAGCGAATGCGGGGTCCGGGGAGGGCGGACACAGCGAATGCGGGGTCCGGGGAGGCGGACACAGCGAATGCGGGGTCCGGGGAGGGCGGACACAGCGAATGCGGGGTCCGGGGAGGGCGGACACAGCGAATGCGGGGTCCGGGGAGGGCGGACACAGCGAATGCGGGGTCCGGGGAGGGCGGACACAGCGAATGCGGGGTCCGGGGAGGGCGGACACAGCGAATGCGGGGTCCGGGGAGGGCGGACACAGCGAATGCGGGGTCCGGGGAGGGCGGATACAGCGAATGCGGGGTCCGGGGAGGGCGGATACAGCGAATGCGGGGTCCGGGGAGGGCGGATACAGCGAATGCGGGGTCCGGGGAGGGCGGATACAGCGAATGCGGGGTCCGGGGAGGGCGGATACAGCGAATGCGGGGTCCGGGGAGGGCGGATACAGGGAATGCGGGGTCGGGGGGAGGCGGATACAGGAATGCGGGGTCCGGGGAGGGCGGATATAGCGAATGCGGGGTCCGGGGAGGGCGGATATAGCGAATGCGGGGTCGGGGAGGGCGGATATAGCGAATGCGGGGGTCCGGGGAGGGCGGATATAGCGAATGCGGGGTCCGGGGAGAGCGGATATAGCGAATGCGGGTCCGGGAGGGCGGATATAGCGAATGCGGGGTCCGGGGAGGGCGGATATAGCGAATGCAGGGGACGGGGAGGGCGGATATAGCGAATGCAGGGTCCGGGGAGGGCGGATATAGCGAATGCAGGGGACGGGGAGGGCGGATATAGCGAATGCAGGGTCCGGGAGAGGGCGGATATAGCGAATGCGGGGTCCGGGGAGGGCGGATATAGCGAATGCAGGGTCTGTGGTTTGGTAACACTTTGGTAAAAAACATTTCATATTTCTCTGCCCCCCCTCCCTTCTGTGTGTGAAGGGGGAGAGAGGGGAGTACAGGTCCAGTGCTGTTCATGGATGCCTCTCTCTTCTCCTCTTCACACAGCACTCGTTGGCTCCTGCTGCTGTCAATCAAATGCAGTGAGGAGGAAGTCCAACTATGTAAGTCTATGGAGTGTGGCTCCTCGGACACACAGCTCAGGAGCGCACAGACACTGTGTGCCTCTATAGCAAGCGACTTGCTATGGGGACACACAGAGAAGAGGAGCACCCAAGATAGGAGGCAAGGGCCCCAAGAAGAGGAGGATCAGGACCATTCTGCAACAGCACTGCACAGAGCGGGCGAGTATAACCTGTTTGTTATTTTAATAAAAAAAAACATTTTGGACTTTAGTAACGCTTTAAGCAGATGGTGTCACGGCATGCGGTTTGCACCTTTTGGAGAAAGCTGTTGAAGAGGAAGAAGTATTGTGCGCAGTTCTTGCAGCTCTCTGGCACGTCTTTATCCAGCAAACTGAGCAGCATCTCGATGAGGAGGTGGCCGCCATTCACCTGTAGAGGATGTGACACAGATATGAGGATGGGACAGAGTTCCCCTGTAACCTTTCAATACAGGGGGGGGGGGGGGTCTTTAGTACCTTGTCCTTGTGCAGTAATGCTCCATCTAGGGTCTTCTCTAGGATGGTGGCCGCAGCACATCTCACCTCCCGCACACTGCACTCCAGCAGAAAAACTCTGATGGGGATTTAAAGAATAAAATATTGGATACATAAATATCTTTTATACGAAGGACAATAGAATAGTCGTATTGGATGAACAAAACCTGGCTTTATATTTCTGTTACAAACCCAGAGCAGTTATTACCATTCTAAAGTATCGCTTTTATCGGATATTGCCCCAAACACACAACGGCTCCCATGTATTAAATTTTCGAAAACGTTTAAAGTAAACCTGTCATTTTGCCAGTGCTAAGCTCCCCTGAAAATGCATATTATTTCTGGGAATATCAGGGGTCTGTTAGACTCCTGATGCCTCCTCAGCACCAGCCAGTCCAGATCCGAGTAAATTACCCCGTCACGGAGCTAGCCCCCCTCCATCCTCTAGGCTTGCTGCCTGCCACCCCCCCACCCCCCTCACTCTTCTGTCCCGTCCATGCTGGGACTTCTAGTCCTCCGTGTCCCTGACACAGGCAGCCCTCGGCGGCCCCTCACCCACCTCGCCTGCAGTCTGGCCCCCTGCTGAAGGAATCCACAAACAGGCCCCCTCCTCCCTTCCCCCTCATGCATATCTTCCCTGGATCCCTGGGCGGATCCGGAGACCTGGGGGACAGGGCCATTGCCATGGTAACCTGACAGGAAGTCTCCGGTTACCACAAGGCAACCCGGTCTATACTTAAGGGTGAGCAGGAAAAAAAAAAACCCTTTTCTGTTCTCCTGGCTGCGTGTGTGAGGGAAGACTGTGATGAGTGCCAGCTTCTCTCATATGACCATCCCCTGTCCTCCTCCTCCTCTCCCTGGCTGACTGGACTGTCCGTCTGCTGTTGGATCCTCTCCGGTGTGGGGTGAACTCTCTGCTGCCTGGAACCTCTTCCCTGCCTGGACTTACCTCTTGTTCCCTGTGAGCCTGCGGGCTGGACATCCTCCCTGCCTGGATTTAACTCTTTTTTGCCCTGAGCCGAACGGACTTAACCCTTCCCTGCCTGGAGCTGCCTGTGAAGATTAACCCTGTGTTGCCGGTGTGGACTGTAGCCCTCTGTGTCCGGTTCCCCGCATCCAGTAAGTGGACTAACCTTGTGCTGCCCAAAAGACTGAGCCCAATTCTCCCCAGGAACCCGAAGTAACTCAAAGCCACCCCGCCCTTGCCTTACTGAACCCTGTGGATTACCATACCCCTGTTGTTCCATATGGCCTTCCAAATTACTTTACTGTGTTGCTGTGTCTGGTGTGGATCTGTGGACTAAAGGAACTGTTGCCTGTGGCCCAAAAACCTCCCCAATAAAAGCCTGCACGTTATGTTTCGTACAATCTGTCTCTGTGTGTTCTCTGGTTCTCTTGACACCCCCAATGAGTCTCGCAGAGATTCTGAACCAGAAATGCTAGGAGGCGATAGCTTCCAGAATACATCGTCTCCTGCTCTCTATTCTGAAGACTCCAGAATGGGTCATACGCTCCCAGAGGAGCAAGGTCGGTCCAGTGACCACAAGCGGAAGCAGACTTTGAAGGACTGTATTGTGGCTAACATACAGATTTCCTTTAACAGGCTGCTAGCTTTCTGCAAGGGGTGGGGGATTCAGGAGTCTGTTTAGGAAAGTTAGATGAATCTATTGTGTTAAGCAATTTTTAATGGATTCCGGCAGGTCCTCTAAGGCATCCTTTCTCAACTGGGGTGCCCAGGCACCCTGGGGTGCTTTGAAGTTTCTTCAGGGGTGCCTTGGCAAAATGTCTAAAAATTGCCCAAAACTTGTATACAAGCCAGCGGGTGGAACAAGCCTGCCTTTTAGTTACACAAAGCCACAGGTTTTTCATTGTACACCATTGTGATCTTATAGCCCGCCGGCGTCCTGACAACCAATGACATCATCAGTTGATAAGGAGGATGTTAGCTGCCTGCATAGCATCCTTGTTTGACCCTCCCCGCCCCACCCTCTCCATCAGTGCTGGGGTCACATTAGCTCAGTGATGGTGAAAAACTGAGGGAGAGGAGAAACACTTAGATACTAGTCAGTACCAGTGTGCAAAAATCTATTTGCTTTGGAAGAATAAATCACCTCCAACGTTGGGTGTCCTACATGTGTGGGTTGTTGCTGCGTTATATAAAATTATGAGAATAGTTTTCCACATTTTAGAATGGGGTGCCTCAAGACTGTCCATCATTTTTAAAGGGTACCTTGACTGAATAAAGGTTGAGAAACACTGCTCTAAGGTCCCGGTCACACCAATCTGACTTTGAAATTGTGAGACTTCCAGTGAAGTCGCACGATTTCAAAGCCATATGTCATTCCGACTTGCAAGACATCTGTCTATGCAAGTCGCACGTGAAGTAGTGAATGCACTACTATAGAAAATCGGTGCGGCTCCGACCAAGCCGGAATCACATCGATATGACCGCTTTAATTGCGAACAATAGGGTGCGACTTGCCATGCGATTTGCAACTCGCGTGGCACGGAAAATCGCACCCGGTGTCACCAGAGTGTAATCCAGTTTCAGAACTAGAAGGGGACATATACATTATCTCTCTCTCTCTCTATATATATATATATATATATAATATATATATATATATATATATATATATATATATATATATATATATATATATATATATATATATATATATATATCTCTATCTATCTATCTTGTCCTCCCTCGCTCAGAATGTCAATCTTTAAATACAGCCGCTAACACCCTACCACATATCATAATGGACAATAATTATAGTAATTTGGTGCTGCGCTAATAATCCCTTGAATCAAAATAAACAGAAAAGTTCACAGAAAGAGCATATAAACCCCAAAATATATATAGAATAGAACGCACATAAAAATCATATATAACAGTGCAACCTCAAAGTGCTTTGGGGGGTTCCACTGTTTTATATACGATTTTTATGTGCATTCTATTCTATATATTTTGGGATTTATATGCTCTGTGAACTTTTCTGTTTATTTTGATTCAACGGATAATTAGCGCAGCACCAAATTACTATATAGAAGGAGACATAATTATTACTTGACGAGTTCCCGCCCCTCGAACTGACAAAGTACTACCCCAGCCATTGGCAAGCTTCACAGCTCTTGGAAACTAGGGCATCGATGGTGGCTATCCATTCCTCTGTGTCAACCCTAAAACAGGCATATACACCATAAACTGCGTGATATTCCACATACACAAAGATCCAATTACCACCCCCCAAAAATACAGCGGACCTTTAACTTAAAAGAGAACGTTCAACTCCTCATCCTCCTTGCTCCCATTTCTGCAATTCTGGCCTAGGCCCGCCACCCCCCATCCGCAAGTTCCTCTAAGTATACTTTCATACCTAAGTTTCTTCTTTGTTCGGAGATAGGTGTGGAAGAGGAACTGGATGGCCAGCTGAGCACTGACTCTGGCCATAGAGGAGTAATTCGGATGTTTCAGCTTGGTCTACAACAAAAAAGGTTTGAAAATGTCAAATACAGCACGCCATTTACTGATAGATCATGGTTACACCAGCACCACTCATTCAACAGTCCTGGCCCTTGTCCGAGCACACATATATTGAAAAAAAAAGAAAAAAAAAAGGAGGGTGGTCAAGGCATCCACTTTAACCGTTTCAATACCGTGCAATTTTACACCTTCCTGTCCCAGGCCATTTTTCAGGTTTCAGCGCTCTCACACTTTGAATGACAATTGCGCGGTCATACAACATTGTACCCAAACTAAAATTTTATCATTTTCTTCACACAACTAGAGCTTTCTTTTGGTGGTATTTAATCACCGCTGCGGTTTTTATTTTTTGCTAAATTAACAAAAAAAGACCAAAATTTTGAAAAAAAACACACATTTTTCTTTGTTTCTGTTATAAAAGTTTACAAATAAATAATTGTTCTTCATAAATTTAGGCCGAGATGTATTCTGCTACATGTCTTTTGGTGAAAATAACCCAAATTAGGATGTATTATTTAGTTTGTAGGAAAGTTATAGAGTTCACAAACTATGGTATAGATTCTGAATATTGATCAATCTGAAGTACTGACAGCCAATCTAATATCTTGAGGTTCCAAGAATGTCAGAATAGTACAGATATCCCCCAAATGACCCCTTTTTGCAGAGTAGACAGTCAGATGTACTTCATAAGAGGAATGGCGAGTTTTTTTGAAGTTGTATTTTTTTTTTGTCATAATTTTTCGGAAAATGAAAAAATTAAAAAAAAATTATTTTCACTTTTTTTTTTTTTACATACTGTC